TCGACCATTTGGATGTTAGGAACAAGTGTGCAAAGTGGCTTGCTGGTATCACAATTTGCAGTATCCATCTGATTTCCGGGTTGAGGCCCTAGTACAAAACGACCGTGAAACTTTCAGATCTTAAGCTCAATAAACCACTTCGTCCATCGGGCGGACAAACAAACAAACAAACAAACAAAAACATAAACAAACAAAATTACACTTTTTCGGTCGCTTTCGGCATCTCGTGGAGATGAAAGAGAAAGCTTCTCAAAACACTGGAAATGAGTTGTTTTACGGCGTTTCGTGAACTCTGTATCCACACTAATACGAGAAGATAAATCTCTTCAATATTAACTTTTTTTGACCAACCTACACTACACTCGATCAGCCACGCCCGATCAGCAGAGTTACAAGCTATTCGCAAGGCGTGGTTTTTCATGGGGAAAACAAAATATCAGACATTGCTTTTACCGCGTGTTCTCCATGCCTCATGCGCTTTCCGCGTGATTTTTCACGCTTCGTAATCTTCACACAGCCAATCAGGAACCGACTTTCATCACGCCTGGCGTGATAATCACGCAATGAGAAACTCGACACTAACTTGACATCGCCGGTTAAGAGTCCATGAGGGTAGCAATCACCATTCGAAATTGACTGCAATGACGTGAGGCATAGCCAGCAACAAAGTCTTAAGGTGGATACAGAGTTCCCAAAACACGAGCGTGATTTTCACGCCAGGCATGATGAAAGTCGGTTCCTGATTGGCTGTGTGAAGATTACGAAGCGTGAAAAATCACGCCTGGCGTGAAAAATCACGCCTTGCGTGAAAATCACGCTTGCGTTTCGTGAACTCTGTATCCACACTAATACGAGATGATAAATCTCTGCAATATCAACTTTGTTGACCAACCTACACTACACTCGATCAGCCGCGCCCGGTCAGCAGAGTTACAAGCTATTCGTCGTAAAACAACTCATTTCCAGTGTTTTGAGAAGCTTTCTCTTTCATCTCCACGAGATGCCGAAAGCGGATCCCAAGAGCACATTATGGGTCGATCAACTGCAGGGAAAGTTTGGCAAGATCGACGGCCTAACAACATCTCGCACAAGGCAGCATCAAAGGACGTGGAACCGATAACAAGGAGGCTCCGCCCACTCCGCCACCAGCCCCACCCCGACCCGCGCAGGTAGAGGTAGATGCGCTGTGCCCGCGCTCGGAAAGTGGAATGGGAAGGGTAGGTAGATTATCTCCCGCCAACGCAACGGTCAGAATCCGAAGTGAGCCCGAATCATAGAGTACTTGACTGACAAGCCAGTGAAGGCAACCGCAGTGTGCTGGCTGCGTCTGCCTGCCTCTCCCTCTCGCACTCGTGCCGACTAGCGACCGAGGGCTCTAGAAATTTAATAATTAAATGTACACGCTCCTATAGTAAACCTAAAATATTTTGCTATAATCCTCATGATCTTAGAGACAATTTTTTTTTCAGCTACCTGGGTAAAATTGTTTTCGTAGAACTTGTTCGATTTGCAGAGGTTTAACTTCAGCCCGAGAACAGGTCGTGTGCACCACACGGTTAACCGCTGAAAATTATTTTCATGCACGATTTTTTAAAAATATTAAGGTAGGTTTCCTAAAACTGAAAATTTCCCAAGGCGCCCCTCCTCTATCCTTATAAACCAGTCCACAAAATTAGAGACTGAGGAGGTGTGGCACACCCATTCCCTTCCCTCATTTCACTCACTCGGAGGCTGGTCGCCACGGCGCCAGAGCTTCGTTGCGGTGCCCGCGTTAATTCGCCGACAAACCGCTCATTGGCAAATTGAGTGGATGGAGCTGCAGTATAATTAATCGTCTCAAGGACGCCACGTTCCGCAAATAACGACAACAACCACCCTCCTGCTCTGACCGGAGCGGTCCGGAGAGCATGTCGAGGCCAGTGACGTAGGGAAGGGGGGAGGGGCGCTTTGAACCCCTGAGTTGAGGTTCATAATCACTTAGAACAAAATGTTTTGATCCTGATTTGAGGTTAGAGAATAGAAGAAATATGAATACTTTCCTAGCCACTTCGAATGTAGCTCCACTTCAAATGTAGCTTAGTCACAAAAATGTCCTTTCCCAAAGTCAATGAATAGAATCTGATGTAAAGGATCAAATTAAATTTGCTTTTGGTTACGTAAAATTTCTTATTAAAGTAATGGGGCCACGACTTTTATCTTGTGAAAATATACCTGAGCATGCAGTCCAGTCAGTTTAAATCCTCAAGTACTGTTTTCACCAATCCCGTCTTGCAAAATGAAAACGGCGCATACCATAGTAGCAGCTTTGGACCAGAAACCAGAGGGCAGGGGAGCAGGAGCTGGTAACCATCACCTTTCACACATCATATACAGGAAGCAGACAGAAAAGAGCATCTTTTACCTTTAGAAATGAGAGCAGTAGGTAGTGAATTAGGTTTCCTGCAACGTTGAGAACTTTTGTCACATTTAGTTTTGCCTCAAATACTATATCAAACTGATTGTGAGGTGCACAGTTGCCGGACACAATCTAAATGACACTTCGACACTCCGACACTTCTAAACACTGTTTGTTCCCAACCCTTTTTCTTCTGCCTCATGTAGAACGTTTAAACTTAAGTGGGATTTAGAGTTCGCAGAACGCGAGCGCGATTCTCACGCCAGACGTGACTTTCACGCCCAGAGCGATGAACGTCGGTGCCTCATTGGCTGCCTGAAGCCTCCGGCGTTAAAATCACGCTTGCGTTTTGTGAACTCTGAACCCATACTTACTTGTGAAATGGCTCAACGGAACAGGATGAAGCACGCAGCTCCTAACCTCTAACCTGTGTGCGGCTAACATCTCAGCGATGTCAGTCCGAGTTCCAACCAGAGTCACCCCAACAAATTGAAAAATTTTGAAACACGGAGAACACAGTTCATTACAGATCACATTGTAAAATGTTGACAACAAAACATTCAACGCCTGCATTTGCTTTTTAAGTTAAATACAAGTTATGCAGGTAACGCCGCCGCCATGTTTACGGATTGTTTACAGAACAATGAGGAGAGGGGGAAAGGCCGCGTGTGGTAGAGTCTCAAGCGCTTGTGGTGGTAGAGGAAGAGCGGAGACTAGAATGTGGCGCGTGGCGCCCTCCTTGCACCAATCGTGCACGATTATTCCTTTATATGTTTGAATTATGACGCACTATGTACGAGAAGCTCAACAAGAAAGAGAGAGAAAAGGGGCGGAAAAAGGGGCGGGACTCGAACCCCCGGTTGCCGACATAC